TGCACCAGCTCTCCAGGTGTTCCACCTCCTGCCTGTAGCTGGACTCATCATTGTTTGTGATGCATCCCACCACCGCTGTATCATCTGCAAACTTTACAATGTGACAGCCTGGATGGGTAGCTGCACAATCATATGTGAGCAGAGTAAACAGAAGGGGGCTCAACACACATCCCTGAGGAGAGCCAGTGCTGAGGGTTATGGTGGAGGAGGAGAGGTTGTGGATCCTCACTAACTGTGGTCTGTTTGTTAAAAAGTCTAGTACCCAGTTGCAGATGGAGGGGCTTAGTCCTAGTGTGGATAGTTTGTCCATCAGGGTTTGGGGGATCATGGTGTTGAAGGCGGATGTGAAGTCCACAAAGAGCATACGGACGTAAGAGTTTTTCTGCTCCAGGTGGTTGAGCGCAGTGTGGACCACAGAGGAGATTGCATCCTCTGTTGATCGGTTCTCACGGTATGCATACTGATGAGGGTCCTCGTTGATGTTGATGATTGTTTTGATGCGAGTCATGACCAGTTTTTCGAAGCATTTAGCGACTATCGGGTTGAGGGCCACTGGCCGATAGTCATTCAGACCAGTCACTGTAGAGCTTTTTGGAACTGGGATGATGGTGGCAGTCTTCAGGCAGGTGGGAACTGTCTCCAGGGTAAGTGAGGTGTTAAAGATGTCTGCCAGCACCTCACAGAGCTGATCAGCACATTCCTTCAACACTTTTCCGGGGATGTTGTCTGGGCCAGTTGCTTTGCGCGGATTAATCCTCCTGAAGGTACTCCTTACTTCTGCTGAGGTCACGCTGAGATGCTCTTCGTCCGGTGGTGAGGTGAGTCTGGTGCTGGGTGGTCTGTTCGGGTCTTCAAAGCGTGCATAGAACTTGTTGAGGGCATCAGGCAGAGATGGGTCTTTGGGGCATTGTTCACTCCTTCCTTTATAATCTGTTATGCACTTAATGCCCCTCCACATGCTCCGAGGGTCTTGTGAGATGAATTGACCCTCGATCCTCTTTGCATATGTGGCCTTGGCCCTCTTAATACCAGCAACCAGCTCTTTTCTTTTCCTACTCAGCTCCTCTGAGCTTCCAGACCTGAAGGCAGTGTTCCTGGCTTCCAGCAGGGTACGCACCTCTGCATTCAGCCAAGGTTTTCTGTTTGGGTAGCTTTTAACATTTCTGATAGTGGAGACGGTGTCAGTACATGTACTAATGTAACCCAGAACTGAGGATGTGTATTGGTCAAGATCAAGCGAACCTCCATTTTCAGCAGCTTCTCTGAAAACCTGCCAGTCTGTTCGATCAAAACAATCTCTCAGTATGGGGCCACTGTCCTGGATCCAGCATTTAACTTCCTTTTGTACCGGTCTGGAGCGTCTCAGCGGGGGCATGTAAGCAGGAGCCTGGAAGATTGAGATGTGGTCTGACAGTCCTAGGTGAGGGCGGGGTTCGGCTTTGTATGCATCTTTTACGTTCGTGTAAACACGGTCCAGCGTGTGGTCTCCACGTGTTGGAATTGTCACATGTTGATTAAAGCTTGGGAGACAGTCCTTTAGATTCACGTGGTTAAAGTCTCCGGCTACCACGTAAAGAGCCTCGGGGTGTTTGCTCTGCAGCGAGCTGATGATATCATGTAGCTCCTGTAGTGATTCATTAGCATTAGCGTCTGGAGGAATGTAGACGACAGAGATGAAAGTCACCGTGAACTCTCGGGGTAGATAATGTGGCCGACATTTCACTATTATTTGCTCCAAAGCCTTCGAGCATGAGCTATTTACAACAGTACAGTTCGTGGACCAACTTTTACTCACGTAAATGCACACTCCACCTCCCCGTGATTTCCCCGTTAGCTCGCTGCAGCGGTCCGCTCGAAAAAAAAGTCTGTCATCCAGGTGGAAGACTGTGTCCAGCGTTTCGCTTGTAATCCACGTTTCCGTGAGGCAAAGCACCGCACACTTCTTCATCTCTTCTGAGGCGCCCGCTCTCAGACGAAGTAAATCCATCTTGTTGTCCAACGAGCGGACATTCGACAGAAAGAGAGACGGCATGGGGAGTTTACCGGCTTTAGCGTTAGCTCGTAGCCTCACCATAACCCCCGCCCGGCATCCTCTCCTCTTAAGCCGGGAGCAGCGCTTCCTCCTCTGCCCATTGGTGCGACTTTGCTTCAGCTTCCAGGTAGATGACTTTAAGATCTGCATTCTGCCGAGCGTAGCTTTGAGTTTGTTGCTGATTTCTGCTATATTTCGTGACAAATCAGCTCCTATTCTCATCAGTTCGGTTCGGCTATAGTTCACACGCATAAATCGTGCGGAGTCAGGCACAGAGTCAATATCAAAACTTCTAAAAACTGGGATGGTACCGGGAGCCTGTGAAGCTGCAACTGCTCTGAGCGCGGCCATCTTGTCTCCCATCTTATTGTCCATAACATTCAATGAAATTAAGATTTGCCTTTGACATCTGGCTTATAAAAACAATAAAAATGTGATTAAAAAACTTTAAAAATGTTAAAATCAAGCTTTGCTAAATCAATTAAAAACATTCAGTTAAAACCATTTTAAAATACACGACACATTAAAATATGGAAACATCTGTACTCTCCATTCACTGTTTACTTACTTGCTTACTTTATTTTTAATCATTTCAAATTTAATTATCAGACAGTTTAGTACGCATGCAAGTAGTATGAGCATTTGAAGGTAAAATGTTTGTTTGATATAAAATAAGCTGAGCAACTAGTAAAAACTTATATTTACCTGAATTAATAAAATACAGCAATAACTTTTGATAAATAGTGAGCCTGGCCCAGAGTTTGGTTTATGAAGCTGCTAAACTAACAGCCTCCCCACCATCACAGACATCTACACCTCCAGATGCAGGAAGAGGGCCACCTGCATCATGAAGGACCACACTCACCCAGCACACACACTTTTTGTCCCGCTCCCCTCAGGAAGGAGGTTGAGGAGCATTAAGTCTAGAACCACTAGACCAGGGGTGGGCAATTATTTTTTCCATGGGGCCACATGAGAAACAGCAAATATTGTGGAGGGCTGGCACAAATGACTTTTTCATTCAACCTTTATTTAGACGGTAAATCCCATTGAGCCTCGAGGACTCATTTACAAGAGAGACCTGATTTCAACTTAACTCAATACTGCATAATGTTAGTATTTCATTATTAAAAGCAGTACATAGCACTGTTTTAACAAGCTGGCAAGAGTATTTGTTATGATTAAGCAACGAAAAAGCGAGCTTTCCTTACAAAAAATGTCATTTATTCAATTAAATTTCCCAGTACAATGGTAAACTGTTAACATTTTTACCATTTGTGACGTTACATTAATGATCATTTTCAGTCACATTCACCCCAAAACTCCATCCATCCATCCATCCATCCATCCATCCATTATCTTTACCCGTTTATTCCATTTTGGGTCACGGGGGTCGCTGGTGCCCATGTCCAGCAATCACTGTGCGAGGGGCGGGGTACACCCTGGACAGGTCGCAAGTCCATCACAGGGACACATAGAGACAAACAACCATTCACTCTCACTCACACCTTGGGACAATTTAGAGTTACCAATCAGCCTAACATGCATGTTTTTGGTCTGTGGGAGGAAACTGGAGTACCTGGAGAAAACCCACGCATGCACGGAGAGAACATGCAAACTCCACCCAGAAAGGCCCCTGGACCGGGGTTTGAACCAGGGTCCTGTTCGCTGAGAGGCAGCAGCTCTACCAGTTGCGCCACCTGCTGCCCCACCCCAAAACTCATTTTGAGTTTTATATACTGCTGGAAAAAGTTCTTAGCTTTGTAAATATATCACGATATTGTCTTTGTACTCCAAATATTATGAAACATCATTTAATAGTGATCGTCACTGAACTGTGATTTCGAGTCCCGGTTCTTTACGTGCCTACATTTGTAGTCTAAACATCTCATTTGGTGTTTATCAGTTCTTTTCTCTTGTTTAGTGAGAGAAGTCTAGTCTCTGTTGGGCTTTAACGGAAATGTTAAAGTCAGGTTCAAGGTCTGAGGTGGAGATGTGAAGCAAAACTGACATCATCAGTGAGAGAGGATCTATATCTGGATTTGGTTAACTTCATTTGTTTACATATGTATTTTGTAATTCCCCTTACGGGGGCCGCTGAGAGTCAACCAAAGGACCGCATGTGGCCCTGGGGCCGTACAACGCCCAGGTCTGCACTAGACTGAGGAACAGCTTCTACCCTGAGGCTGTTAGACTCATGAATCCCTAACCAGAATAATCACTGTGAAAAATCACATCATGTTGCTGCTGATCTGTTTCATGTTGCTGCTGATCTGTTTCATGTTGCTGTGTTCATGCGGGCTCATCTGCTCACACAGACTCATGTTCGTGCTGCTGTTGTTCAGCGTATTGTTTTTGTACTACTAGTGTTTAGTGTATTCTTAGTTTAACATATTTCTTAGTTCATATCTTAGATCTTATTACTGTTTTTCTTTTTATTTTATACTTTTGGTGGATGTAACTGGGACCCTGTGTACATAGTTTCATTCCACCACATGTACCAAAAGTGGTGCGTATGACAAATAAAGAAATTTTAACTTTGAAGGGACCTAATTCATAAAGTGTTTTGAAATCTGAGCTTCTTCATTGCTGTTGATTTTATTCAGATTATAGTGTAAAGCGCTTTAAGTATGGTGATAAGATAGAAAGGCTCTATATAAGTACAGTCCATTTGTCATTTATCAACTTATTGTTTGACCTATCAGTCTGTAGAAGAAGGTTTTTGATCTACACATTTTAATGGAAATTCAGTAGAAGTTGTAAATAATGGGTTTATGCAAATGATGCTGCACTCTTTAAAATGCATGTTGTTTCACAGCAGTTTGTATATTTTTACAGAGGGAAGCACCTGCACTCTTTCACCGCACAGTCATTTTCTTGTGCAAAGTGTAGTTTGATGTAAAAAAAAATCAAAAGCTATATAAAAAAACGGTAGTTGACAGGATGACAGCAGGGACTGCTGGAAAACTTTGAAGCTCTGCTGAACACTGATGGAAACAGCAAACACGCATGCTGCTTGTGTGTGCACACGGACATGACACAAGCTCACACTCTGCCTTTTTCTTTTGTTTTTCAAATAGTCCTCAGCAGTAAACCTGTTCGTTGCTTTTTGGGGTGCAGCTTCCACTTTTTCTAAAAATAGTCTCTCCAACTGCTGGAGTTGAACCCTGGACTCCCTGACAGTGATTTTATAAAGTCAGGATTAAGCCTGATCTTAATACAGCGTTGCCTGAAAGTCTGAAGTTCAGAGGCCTTTACTTTTGATTTCCAGCATTCCCAAATGTGTGACCTTTCTCCAGTCTTTCTGAAGGTGTTGCTGATGTTAGTCCATAGATGAACACCCCTGCCCCCTCAAACCAAAGAATATAGTTTAACTGGTTTGCACATGTCATGATGCCATTAGAAAAATTGCAGTTTCTTTAGGTTTTCTGCACAGATGTAGTTGCTGTGGAAACATGGTTGCATAAACAATGTTGCATAACTTAGATTTCATGAAGATAAATGCAGAAACAACAGTTTTAACATAATGATACCAATGAAACTAAAAAAATCACAAGCTTAGAGAAAGGAAATACTTAACTGTTCTCCCGTTTGTGCAATCCTGTTTCTAAAGCTATTTTTAATATCACTGAGACATGATTTAGTGCTACACATCCAAGTTTAGTGTTTCATGTCATTTCAAAAGTAATCAGCCACCGTTACCCTGCAGGTTGTGTAGAAGTTGAGGCTGGACGTGTGTGTCCAGCAGTCGGATCTCAGCTGTCCTCTCCTCCTCCAGCAGCAGCCTCAGCAGCTTCTTTCCCAGGAATCCGCTGGCTCCCGTCACCACACACACATCACCTCTCAGAGACATGGCAGACCAACAACGCGTTGCTGTGAAAAACAAATCGCAGCGCCTGTCTCCCTATTTTCTCCCTCTGAGGTGGGCTCCTCGAAACGAGTGGTTCAGATGAATCAGAGGAATACAGATTGAGGATTCTTTGAATTTTGATGTTCCGTCGGTGGGAGAGCATCAGCACCTTCTGCCCTCCCAGCCTCAGCCGTCCCACTTTTTGTGAAGGAAAAAAAAATACTATAAAAAAAGTATTATTTGCTCCAAGGCAGTGTGAGGAAAAAAGGGGCTGGTCTCAACTACTTGAGGGTGGAATGTGATGTATTCAGTCTGCAAGACAAGGGCTGGAACAACTCGAACAAAAGGTAAAAGTGCAGAAAAACAACAATTTGATCTTTAAGCAAGGCCGGCCCCTGGGTACGCAGCATAAGCAGCTGCTTAGGGCCCCGTGGAGGCTTGGGCCGGCCCTGTCTTTAAGAATAAATGTAAACTCCGCTTATAATTTTAAAATCTTCAACTGGAAAGTCAAAGGTAAAGTCAAATTTAAAAACACTTATGACGCTGTTTTTTCTGTCATGTATTAATTTTGTATTTAGAGTCATACTTCACTTGCTGTACAATGCAAAAACATAGTTTTACTTACATCAGTGCTCGCATCACTTTTCTGTTTACATGATCTCAACATTTGCATCACCCTCATAAAAAAATACATTTTTATGAACATCATGGTAGTAGAACATCTCTAACTAAAGACATTTTGAAGAAGATCATTTTAAGGTTATTATTATTAATGTAACGACAACCTGAATTTTAACATTCATTAAGATTTTCAAAACTAAAAAGGTCCATGCTCAATAATCCAGGTATACAATCCAACGATTTTCACTCAGGTCATCTGGACAGTTTTTTTTTTTGCTGAAACGTTTCACCTTCCATCCAGAAGGCTTCATCAGTCAAGGAAACACACAACAAAACTGATTCTGCCTCTAAACAGCTTGTTCCACTTTGGAGTAAGATACAAACAGAAGATTTGATGTACAAACTTTCCATCCATCCATCCATCCATCCATCCATCTATCCATCCATCCA